GGGTTTTGAAAGCTGAGAATTGGAATGCCTGGTCTGTAAGAGGGGTACTGGCTCCCAGACAGGGGAACAGCAAATGCAAAGATTGGCAGATATAAAATAACATGGTGTTCAGAACTAAACAAAGTCTGGTGTCATTAGAATCCACAAGAATCACAATTTCTTCCCTTTTGATAATGTAGATAAAATTTGTTAACTTTTGGCTGGGTGCTGTGGCTGACGCCTGTAATCCCAGCACTTTGGGAGGTTGAGGTAGGTGGATCTTGAGGTCAGGAGTTTGAGACCAACCTAGCCAACATAGTGAAACCCCATCTCTTCTAAAAATACAAAAAATTAGCCAGGTGTGGTGGTGTACACCTGTAATCCCATCTACTTGTGAGGCTGAGGCAGGAGAATCACGTGAACCCGGGAGGCAGAGGTTGCAGTGAGCTAAGATCGCACCACTGCGCTCCAGCCCAGGCGACAGTACGAGACTCCATCTCAAAAAAATTTTTTTTTGCTAACTTTTCGAAATCTGAAATCAATTTCATTCTCCAAGATTCCTAAAATAATCCAGATGGTAAAATCAATCCACCAATTCTTTAACCTTAGAGTACCATTACTTTAGCATGAAGATGTTTCCATCCAGTTGCTATTTTTCTCCTTTCACAGATCCTTCCCTTGCCTCCCCTCTCCTGGCACCTGCCATCTAGCAGGAAGCCATTATGGTTACAATTATCATCAACCTTCTGGTCACCAGTGGGTGGCAATAGCAACATGGAATATTTGTGGGTCCAGGGTTTTGTCTGTGGTATTCAGCTGATAGCTAACACACTCCTGAGTTCTTAGGAAAAGCTAAATAGCTGTTTTAGGCAAAGGAGATGGGCAGCAGCAGGAAATTTATCTGATGCGTTTCCTATGAAGAAGCAGGTGGTCATTTATGCTAGATTTCACTTCTTTCCTTTGGCTTATTTTATTTAATGGAGGGAGCTACATATATTAGAGACTCACTGAATGTTTAGGACCTGGAGGTCATTACATTGGCCTGATTTATGAATTGAAGTCACTAGCAGACAACAAAAAGGCAAACTAAGTATTATGTGGAAGGGCTTAATGTGATTTTATTAACACAATAATCTGGAAACATTCTGTTAAGGATAATAACAGTATTAACAGGTCTTTCCCTAATAATTATGAATAAATGGTTTTAGTCACAATTTCATGAGCTAGAACTCTCACTGTATTCTTTTTATCACCAGAGAAAGAGAACTGAGATATGAATTTATGAACTGAATTTACTGACAAACTGCCAGGTAACGGAATAGATGCTTTCCCATGAGGAATCCTAGGATGCAAATTTTTAGATGAAGGGAAAGGTGGAGGGAGGAGAATACAACCTTGAAAGCAGGTATTATCATTCCCCTCCTATACACCGGGACGCTGAGTCAGAGGTTAAGTACTCTGTCAAGTTAGTAGTATACTGTTTTTGCAGCTCTATTATATTTTTGAACAAGTAGCAAAAGGAGGCAGAATTGTGAATGGTTTAGAGCAGGAGCTCTGAGATCAGTTGACATGGGCCCCAGGCCCAGATCTGTCACTAATAACCTTGGGAACTTCACCTCTCGAAGCCCCAGTTTCCTTATCTGGAAAAAAAAATCAAGATGATGGATCTGTATGGGGTTGTTACTGGGATTTAGTGAGATAGTGCACATAAATGCAAGGGAAGTACCTGGCACATAGTGAGCGCTCAACAAAGGTCAGTGCTATTATTTTCAAAAAAGTAGCACACACTGGTGTGTGATGAGTTCTTTCAGCATATTGAGAGCAAGAGACAGCTGGAAGCCAAGGTCTCACCGAGTTCTGACACTCCGTTGAGTCAGAATGAATAACAACAGTGAATCATGATTAAGGTGACATATACCAGAGTAAAACATTTCCTATAGTTTAGCCAAAACTTCAGCTTACTTTAGTATGATGAACGTGAAGAAAAAATAAATTCCTGCTACTATCTTCATGATTGTGTTTTATAATAGATTGCAACTAATTTTAATTTTTTTCTTACAACACTTTGTGAATTTCGTGGATTTGATTAGCTTTCTAACTTTGCTTTACTTCGGTGGGGGGTGGTGATAAGGAAGAGAACTTGTGAGACATAATTCACTTCATATATGATATATATCCAGGTCAGTTCCTAATAACTACTGAACCATAAATGCAATTATATAAGGTAGTTTGTCTTATATCAAACTATGATTTTTATTACATACTATTTTATTATGGATACTATTTCAAGCTAAAAGTCTTTTTCTTTTCTTGCAATTTAATAACACAATGTTTGTAACTACCATTTATTTAATGCTCATTAAAGACTGTGCACTATGCTAAGTGCTTTATAATATTTTATTCAACTCTTTCAACTAACCATTAGGTAGGTATTATTGCCCCCATTTTATTGATGAGGAAATTGAGGCTCAGTAGGATTGAGCAACGTAGCCAAGGCCACACAGTTTAGAAAGTGACAGATTTGATTTAAATTCACATCTCTCTGATTCCCAAACCTGTCAGTGACACTGCCAGCTCCATGCTGGCTGATAAATAGAAGTCTTACCATTTATTTCCAACCACTAGCATGATATAAACTTGAAGTTCATTTGGAAAAGAACATATTCACTGTATATTTTACCTTTTTCCAAGTACAACTGCTCCTGGGTCTTGAGATTTTGCCTCCAGTTCCTGAACTTCATCGACCAATGTTTTAAAAGCAGTCCTTTTGATCCTGCAAAAAGGAAAAAAAAAGGGATTTGCATGGAAATACTCTTGTGAAGACTTTACAGAACTAGATGTCTGGCTTATTATCATGGCTGCTGATAAGGTACAACAGTAACAAGAGTACAAGCAGTTTTTCAACAGAATCTTAAAAATTACCATAATTTTGAGCATTAATATAGAAATGACAGTTTTAAAATAAATGCTGGTTTAGGTTTACAATATTAAAACTCTCATAGTTATTTAAATAAACATCAGGTAATAAATGCTATCTTTTTTGGGGGAAGGGATTTTAAAACTTATAACCCTTGAAAAAAATCAGTAATGTTTTCATTTTATATTTTATATATGTTTGGAATCAGGCAAGCAAAACATTTCTTTTTATATTAATAAAAAATATGTTTAGAAATAGTACAATTTTTCTTCTACTACTCTGTATGGGTCTTGGGGCTGTTTCTAAAAAACATACTCCCTGATGTAATTTTCTCCAATGTCATGTACTTTTCTGTGTTTACTGAAACGACCTGCTTTACTTCTCATTTAGTCTTTTAAACTAGTTTTCCAGTTCCTGAATCACCCCTTCCTTATTTAAAATTAAATATTATTACCAGTCCCTATCCTGTGAACTCTACATGCTTGAATTGACATTACAAAGAGAGAAATCTGAGGATTAATATGCATCTACATTTTTCTGTATAGAACAGAGTGTGTACTTACACCTTGTACACCACATCAAGGAGCAGAGACGCCACAGGGATGAATAACAAGCCCATCCAAAAGACTCCGGAACTGAACAACATTGCTGCCTGTGTAAATCGGCAGAAACAAAATAACTTTAAAACCAGAAAATACAGGATTTGTGTTTAGTTTTTATGCAATTTTAAATAAAACAATTTTAAGAATATCATTCAATAAGAGAGTATACAACTCTGAATTCAAAGTTATGAAATTAACTTAAATTTTTGAGCAAATTTAAAATATAATCTGGATTAAATTCTCTTATAATAATATATGGTATAAAATAAATCATAATTAGAAACTAAATTTACTATTTCCGGCAAGTGAAAATTACTTTTGTACAATTATAGGGTATTAAAAATCATCCAGATAAATCATGACTACAGTATAATCAAATTAAGATACCTATGAAAACAACAATTTGATTATTTTTGGTTAACATTAGGTAGGAATAATCCTAATTTTTGTTCAGTGATTTATGTAACTGGCATTGGTGCACAGCTCTTATTGCTAAAGTCAAGCCAATATCTTGTATGTAAAAGCCAAATAAAAGTATATTAAATATAACTTTAATAATTCCTTTATATTAAACACCAAATTGCTGTATTATTAGAGCTTTTTGGGTTGCAAAAAAAAGATTCTGTAACTTAAAACTAAATTCTATTATTTATTTGCAATAAAAATATCTTTGTAATATAGTTAGATTACACAGAATTTAAAAGGAATAGTATTATACAATAAAAAAGCAAAATGAATATTTTGGTTTCACTTCTTTTAATCTGTTTATCAAGAGTAAATTTTCAGTACCTATTTAAATCCATAAAGATATGGTTTTAATTCCATTAAAACATAGCCAACTAATGTACGCACATTTCGATTCTACTAAAAATCACACAAAATTAAAAAAAGTTCAGGTATGGTTCAGGAATTAAAAATAACCTAGAGTTTAATTATTCTAGAAAATTTCACAATTACACTTAAATAGTCTTAAGCAATCAGTCCTTATGAAACATGCAGATTATTAATTTTAAATTATATTTCAGATTACCTATTCATTCTGACTCTCAATTAAGAGCTAGGAACTGCTGTTTAAATTTTTTTCTGCATTGACATGAGCTTATCCATACAGAGTGCAGGTTCAAGGACACCAAGATTTTTCTCTATGTAGAAGTGAATAGCTCTAAACGCTTTTAAAATAAAATCATGCTATTACAAAAAATTCCAGAAAATAAGTTTTGCCACGTGGGTTCAATGAAATGGCATCCATATTGTAGACACCAACAAGGCGAAACATATTCACATAAAAGTCACTTTATTTAATAAGCAAAACATGATCTTTGACATGTTTGTTGACATCCTCAACAGTGAAAACCAACAATAACTGTGTAATAGGAAATGTCTATCAAGCCAGTGGATTTTCTTTAGATTGAAAGAAGCTTTCTAGTAAGGTAACAACTGTAAAAAACCAATTTCTCCTTCTGGGGGGAAGGTAAGATAAGAATTTCAAGGCATGTAACTGAAAATACCACACTTACTTGGCTTAATTTTAATATATTTTAATTTGGTGGGGGCGGGGGGCAAGAGAAGGAGGATTTATTCTTGCCTTCACCACCTTGTATTAAATGTCCACCGATGGAAAAGGCAAAAGTGGTGGAGATTCAAGGCTGCTAATTCTGACCATTGTGATGCTAACGACGAACGCAGGAGTGACTGGCGCCCCACCATTCAGTCCACCAGCCTTTGGCTTTACAAATGAACAACATGAATTGAGGAAAAAAAAGTTTTTCTGCGTCATATCTGAAAGCCTGTCAGATTTTTTTTTTCTTTTGCAGAGTTAATCCAAACCTAAAAGATTTAAAGCCGACATTCGCATTAAAGACAGAGAGTCTCTTTGTATTTTTTGGATGAAGAGGGAGGAAGAATAAAATCCCACAGAGGTATTTCCTTCCTTTCTGTATAAGAAAGCTCCCCCTCACTCCGAAGAAACCAGTTTTGTCTCTAACTTTTCACATTTCCCCACTCGCAGGCAGGTCAGCTGGGAAAAGACGAAGGGATCCTGAGACAATGGTGGTAACAGGAGCAGCCTGTTCGGGGCTGGGCTCCGGTTCCCTCCGAGAGCAGTTTGCAAATTGCTCCTAATGTGGGAGACCGGTGCACCAGGCCAAGTGGCCCCCACTGCCCCTCCTCGAGGCCCTGTGAAACCAAATGGAATCTGCCACAAAAGTGGCTCCCGGGGGACTTGAGAAGGGATCAGCCGAGGAAGCTGCAAAGCTGGTAACTGGAGGGCACAGGCCCTGTGTGGGGAACAAGCAATCGCTTGTCTCTGCAGAGTGAGGCTGGCTCAAAATTGAACCACTGGGGCTTCAAAAATAAAGCAACGCTGCCTGAAAATGCAACTTGCAACAGAGGAATTGTTCTGAAATTTCTGTGTAAAGTTTCAGAGAATGAATGTTTGAGAAAATACGAGTTTATGTGCATTTGGCCAAGCCAAGGGGCATGACGGGTACGAGTGGTTTACCTTCTGACCCACATGGCATGATCTGTTAGCACCTATGCTCCCACACCAGACTGAAACTCTTCTTCATCTTCAATGTGCCCAAGTTCAGACCCATAGGGGAGATAATTCAAGTGTGCTACCTGCCTACAAACCTGTAACAACATGGTTCTTCAGTCTACTTCTATGTGCTTACACTGTCAGTATCAGAGTGACATGCTGTGACTTTTACTCATGGAAATGTATAGACAGCTGAAACAGAAGGCCCTTTGGCAAACCCTAAGACTGTCTCCATGGACCCCAGTTGAAGCAGGTCTGGAAGTGGTCCTGGCACTGCCCTTCCCAGCTAATCAGACACTTGAGAAGTAACTTCTCAGTATCGGTTTCCTCAGCCGTACAGTGGACTGTAAGAATTAAACTCAATAATGTTGGTAAAGTGGCTGCATAGCACTGATTATTAATAAACTTTCTTCATTTCAATTGTCAAATGTCATTAAGTGCTCTAGTGTCTTGTTTTTTCCAGTGATCTGTCCCATGAACTTCATGGAAGAAAATTTTTATGATAATATCAAATTAACTGTAAATCAATTTACAAATTTTATGATTAATATCACAACATATGCTTGTCTCACCTGCGATTTTAAAATGCAATGCTGAAACACAGGCCAAAGTAAGAGATCCCTAATAAAGTGCCATTCAACTCAATTTGCCAATTTAGGAAGTGGAGAAAAACAATTTTTTCCAAGAAATTATTAACTATATAGGCATAATATATTAATTTTGGGAGGGAAATTATTCAGAAAATAGTGCTTCAACACATTCTTTTTTGGAAGGGAGGGCAGTAAGAGAAATTACCTTCCAGAGGGTTTACATTAATGTTGGCAACAACAAAAAACTGAGAAGTGATTATTTATTAAGTGTCTGGACAAAGCCTTATATAAAGGCTTTCAAAGCTTAAAAACAGCGAGAAACAGTGAAAGCATGCTTTAAAGAACTGATTCACGAAAATGTAGAACTTCTGTGTGTTTGAAAAAATAGCTAAAAAATAAACAATAAAAAACTGGGAGAACGAATGCTACAAATACATGAAATTCCGGCTTAGTATCTGATCAGAAAAATAGTCATTTATCTTCATAAGAATAGCTGCAATTTCAAGAGACAGGGAAAAGACCTAGAAAGGTATTCATAAAAGCAGCAGCAAGTAATCAACAGCATGGAAAGGTGCTGAGCTGCTCTGCAGTCCTAGAGAAACACTGACAAGTTAGATCGGATTTTAAAAATTCACTGTCACAGCTTGGTGGAGTGAGTGGGGTAGGGTGGAACAGGTAATTGTAGCAATTTATATTCCCACCAGCAACGAAGTAGCCTTTGGAAAAGGTAACTGGCAATGTGCACCAACACCACAAACATTTATTCCTATTAATTCGATAATTGCATTTCTGAACTATGTGTTAAAATGAGGTCCAGCTTTTGCTTATCAGTATCTCATGAAACTGTCCTGTGGTTGCTAATCCTGAAAGCATCCCCGCAAAGGGCCCATTGCCAGAGATTTATTAAAGGTGAAAAGAAACCACAGCAGCATCCTCTTGGAGAGTCACAGGGCAGAGTAGCACAAGGCTTCAAGAAGTCAGAGTAGGCTGGACGTGCGGTTCACGCTTGTAATCCCAGCACTTTGGGAGGCCGAGGTAGGCGGATCACTTGAGGTCACGAGATCGAAACCATCCTGGCCAACATGGTGAAACCCTCGTCTCTACTAAAAATACAAAAATTAGCTGGGTGTGGTGGCATGTGCCTGTAGTCCCAGCTACTTGGGAGGCTAAGGCAGGATAATTGCTTGAACCTGGGAGACGGAGGTTGCAGTGAGCGGAGATTGCGCCATTGCACTCCAGCCTGGCAATAGAGCGATACTCTATCTCACAAAAAGAAAAACGAACAAAAAGTCAGAGTAGTAAAGCACCCTACTGAATAGTTTTTTTAAACCAAGGTTTCCTAAAGTTATCTACTGATTATGGAACACTTTCCCCCATATCCTTCTTAAAAATATTCCACACAACTAATTTTGGGGAAAGCAAATATTTGTTGTGGGTTGTTTTAAATAACAAAATACTAGTTAAAGCTAACAGAGCACTATGTGGCTAATTAGGCAAATGTGCATCCCTAGGCCAGAATGTTATCCAAGCTGTTGAAGATATTCCAGATTGTAATTATCAGAAAATTGATAGTTTAGAAGAGTCTTGAAGGGAAAGGTAAATTACCCTGGTATTCTCCCAGGAGCCTTCTGTTAGCACACAAACACCCTCCCTGGAAGGGTTTGCAGTTTGCATCATCATCTATATGGAAATCAGCCACAAATCACCTGTGGCTTAGATTTCTCACCTGAATTTGAAGCACAGACTAGACTACTGAACTCCTAACTTGCATGTCGCACAGGCACCTCAAACCTCACACATCCCACACTGAACACACACTGTCTTCCCTCCAAAGCCTGCTCTACTTTGGCACAAGCTATTCAGGGAATGGTGTCATCCCTGGCTGCCCAAGACAGAAACCTGGGCCCTATTCCTGAATTGGCTTTTTGCCCTACCTCTAGTATTTCACCAGGTTCTGTTGTGCTTTAGCATCTTCAGATTCACCCATCCCTTACCAACTCTGCCACCATTATCCCAGTCCAAAAAATTTGCCTGTCCTTCTAGCTGTCCTGACTTCAGAAATACTCTGCTTCTAGCAGCCAAAGAGATAGTTCCAAAAGGCAAATTCAATGTTAGCAGTTCCTGGATTAAACCCTTTCTGTGGCTTCATACTGTCTTAAGAATAGAAAACAAAATCTTTAATAAGATTTCAAGACCTTTCTATCCGACTTCTGATCGCTTTGCCAATATCATCTCTCAAGCCAGTCCCATCTCTTGCTACATATAACGTGTTTCAGTTACTGGAAGGCACCCATGCTCACTCTTATCCTTGGGCCTTTGCACCTGTGATGCCTACAGCTCCTTCGTTTTCCGCTCAGATGTTACTTCCTTCCTTAGACTCAGAGGACACGTATGTTGGCACCTATCACCCATTTTCTAGTTGCTCATTCATCTTGTTAGACTATATGCTCTTTTAATTCTCACGATCCAAGTGCTCAGCCACCAAGCAGATGTTCAATAAATAATTTATGGATAAATATATCCTCACAACTTAGTGTTGTAGAAACTAAGTGAAAAACAATAGAGACTGGGGACCCTGTTCCTGAGATGTGGTGGTTACGGTCTGCTTAGTTCTCTTGTGTTCTGGCAAGGAGTTATTCTAGGGGGCGTTATTGCCAGATAATTCTTTATTTTGGGGAAAGAAGTTGATTTAACTCCACAACTATCCTTTTCCAGTGTAGGCTGCCTTTTGTGTTAAAGGTTGAGGGATGTGCATTAAAAGCTAAATATGTTAAACTATCCCCACCTCCCAGTCTGAATCATCAGAAATATTTCAATGAATCCAAGAAAGGTATGATACCTGGAAATAAAAGTGGGTTTTGTTTGTTTGTTTCTGTGGTTGTGGGGAGGTGAGGAAGAGCTATAGAATAGTCAGGAAGAGAAGGAAGTACCAGCATTAACAAAGATTTTAAGTAACTACACAGTATGAACACTTTGCAATGTTGAAGAAAAAGAAGCAGAATACAAAATCCCAGTCTTCCTCCTCTAGGCAAATACAAACTTTATCCTTCTGGCTGCTCTGGCCAAAATACTCGAGTCATCTTTATTCCCCCTTTTCTTTAGAACTGCGCATTCAATTTACTGGCAAATCTCACTGGCTTGACTTAAAAAAATTCACACACCAATGTTCATAGCAGCACTACTCACTATAGCCAAAGGGTATAAACAACATCAGCAGATGAGTGGATAAGGAAAATGTGGCATACCCATACAATGGATTAAGCTTTAAAACACATGAAATGCTGGCCCATGTTACAACATGGGTGAACTCTGAAGACATGATGCTAAATAAAATAAACCCGACATAAAAGGTGATTCTACTTAGATGCAGTGCCTGGAATAGTCCAATTCAGAAACAGCAAGCCCAGTTCTGGCTGCTAGGCGTTAGGGGAAATGGAAAATATTAATTGTTTAACAAGTATGAAGTTTCAGGAGGAAAAGATGAAAAAGTTCTAGAGGTGGATAGTGGTGAAAGTTGCACAACAATGTGAATGCACTTAATGCCATTGAATTTACACTTAAAATGATAAATAGTATATAATGTATGTTCTACCATAACAAAAACATTAAATGAAAAAAAAAAAAAAAAAAAGGTTTTCAGAGCAAATCTTCTCCCCACCCCAAATCCAGAATCTACCCACTTCACGACCTTCCACACTTGCCTAGGACCCCATCATCTTCTGTCTGGAGTACGACGACAGCCTGCTAGGTGTTCCCCACCTTTTCCCTGTATAACTATTCTCAATAGAGCTCCCAGAGCAGTCCTTTTAGAAGTCAGATCATGACTCCTTGGCTCAACCCTCCAGAGACTTGAAGAAAAATTGAGAGCCTTTACAACTGTCTCCTGGCCCTGTGTGTTCTGCCCCAGCCCTGTCTCTGAAGGCCAGCTCACTTGTGTGTGTGTGTGTGTTTCTCCAACTTTTAACTTCAGGGGTACATGTGCACATTTGTTACATAGGTAAATTGTGTCACGGCGGTTTGTTGTACAGATTATTTCCTTACCCAGGTATTGAGCCTGGTTATTTCTCCCGATCTTCTTGCTCCTCCCACCCTCCGACCTCCACCTTCTGTAGGCCCCAGTGTGCATTGCTCTCCTCTATGTGTCCATGTTTTCTCATCATTTAGCTCCCACTTATAAGTGAGTACATGCAGTATGTGGTTTTCTGTTCCTGCGTTAGTTCGTTAGGAATAATAGTATTTTTAATAGTGACTCCCTCCCTCATTCAGCTTCCACCACTCTGCAGTTTTCAGGCTCTCAGCATTTGTCTATTTCCATCTGGAATTTTCTTCCAGATAGCCTCAGGTCCTGCTCACAAAACTTCAGGTACAGTGAGGCCTTGTGTGACCACCCCACTGAAAACAGCAGCCCACCCCACTCCACCCCACCCCATCCTCTCCCCAGCGCTCAAGCCCTCCCGAGCATTTAACGCAGTACAGCCTGTGGTATAATAGACTTATGTTTGTATATTTTTCTTCTCTAGATTATAACCTTCCAAATGCAGAGATTTTCTTTCATAATTGTATTTTCAGAAACTAGAATAGCACTTTGAAATATATTTATTAAAGTATGGTATTGACTTAATGACTCCAAGTTACTAAGTTATTGAAAAATTTTTATTATAAAATTTAAAGAAGAAAAAACTTCAATTTTCACTGATATGAGAAGCACTCAAAATAGTATAATGCCTCTATTTTCAGTCAGACACTAATCTCTTTTTCTGAATTTAGAATTATTTTCCTAGGCTAGATTACAATCAAGAGGAGAAGGTGTATTTTTTTTTCTTTCCCCAAATGGCTCACAAAT